GGGGCCCCTTTGGGGAAGGGAGAGGCTATAGCCACGCTACCCTCGGAGCGGGCGAGGAAGAAGAGAAAAAGTAAGGCGAAGAAAGGGAGAGAGCCAGAAGCTGTGCGCGGCACCGCTGAGGCGAAATAGGCGACAGCACCTCATCAGGACGGGTCGCCACAGAGGATGCGGCGCTAACCCCCCCCACGCGCTGATTGGCGAACAATTCCCGCCACTCGCTCTCTCCACCTTCCTATTGGCTCCTGCTTCCCGCCCAGCTCCCGCGCGCTGGCCGCAGCCGCCCCTCAGCGCCCTCAGCGCGGCATGGCTCAGGCGGCTGGCGGCGGCTGTGGCTCCGAGCCTGGGCCGGCTTCCGCGCCGGGCAGCGCCGGCGACACCTCCCTCCTGGGCGGCGCCACAGTGTGGCCCTTGAAGCGCTACGGTCGCTTCCTCCCCCCTAAGGACGGTGACGATGAGGGGCAAAACACCTCTTGGAAGGTGCCGGCGGCGCGGGGAGGATGGCGGGGTGATGTGGGGTAACTGGCTCTGCTGTGAGGCAAACACGAATAAAATGAGGTCTTTCAGGTGCCTTTTTGCGAGTCCAGAGCTAAAGAAGGAATTGGGAGAGATTTTGCTTCGTGAATTATTAATGACAATACATTAGAGTGTTAGTGGCCCACTTTGTTTTATTCGTATATCGAGCAGTAACCTGTGGTACTAAAATCTAGAGACCAAGGTGGAAGAATCCAGAGGGTTGTTCTAAGTAGTTAAATCTGTATATGCAGGCATAATTAGTGAAAAAAATAATTTGATGTGCTTCTTGCCTGTGGGTGTGGAGGGCAAGTTGCATTAGTGAGATGTGAATTACACACCTGGCTTCTAACAGCGACCTTTGAGACCTTTTATTTGGCACTAGAAATGGGACTCGTAGATTCTGTGCTTGCAGGGCCAGATTTTCCTTTGTCTGTCTTTTTAAAGGTGTTTGAATCAAATGAAGAATCAGGCCCTCTTGTCCTTACCATTGTGGAGTCTGGCCATTTCTTTATTTCCCAAGAGCGAACAGTGCTGGTAAGTTTGTCACGTATAAAGAACATTTCTCCTTCATCATTTACCATCAGTATTAACTTTGTTTCTTTTCTCAGCTTCATTTTCTTTCCCACTGAGTAGGAACTGTCAATCTTGTTTTGCTGATGGTAATTCTCATGTTCTCCTTTCCCTTCGCATTTATCAGAACAGTACTAAATACATTATTTCCTGCTGAGGATCAACGTTTCTTCTGCAGTTCTAAAAATCTAGGTGAAGAGGTAATGCTAAGTGTTGCTGATGTTGAAAGATGTTTGGGGTTTTTTTTTCATGATTCTTCTGACTAAGAAAACAGAAGAATGCTCTGTTTAGAAATAGGTAAAACTATAATTTGTTACATCATTTGCCAATGACCTGCTAGTATTTTGGTTTGACAATATGGTTTATCAAACGGTTTGTGTTTTCTGTGTTGGATGTTGAGATGTAACAAACAGCATAAGATCATCGGAGACAAAATTCAAACTTGTGTCAGCTGGTTTTCCTGTAGCCTGCACTTGCTTAAGCATAACCAGTTACTAAGCTGAATGTCATAATGACAGCAAAAGGAAAATTGTGTGTAGGAGGAGTGGGTTTGATCCTCTTGACATAGAAGACTTTGCTGGAGGATGGAATTAAGTGTGTTCAGTGCACATCACCAGTACTCAGTGGTGATAACGAGTAGGAACTGGCTGATAAATATGTTAGAAAGGTATTACAAACCAGTGGAAGGTGCTGCAGCATAAAGATAACAAAGCTTTTTTAATAGAATGTATAAGAGACTGTGTTGCACCTTGGAATATATGTAAGCTTATAAATTAGTTTTTACTGTGCCTCTTAAAGGCTCTTAAACTTGTAGAAATTAAAGTTTAGGGGAGAACCATGGATACCCTTGAAGTTTTTGGCCTGTGTGTTAGGAACATTGAATAGTTAATGCATGAGCTAACAGGGAGCTGTTACTGTGGATGGCACTCAGGTCATTCACTGAGGACAAGGTAAAAAGGGACCCTGGAAAGGTTTTGGCAGTTGTGTTGAGTAAGAGAAAGGAAAGAAGTTTTGAAAATGGGGATGGAAATGAGACTTGCTGCTATCCCTTAGCACATTCTGCTTGGGATAACTCCATGTAGGATGTTCCTATTCCCAGTGGCTGTCCCTGTTAGTGACCAGTAACTGACATCACTCTAAAAGTCCTTGAAATAACCATATAAAAGCTAACAGCAACTTCTAATCACTAACCAAAGTGCAAAAAAGGCACAACCCAAAGCTGCAGCCCTTCAAAGACTTGTCTGGCAAAGGCTGAAGCTGGCAAGTAACATGGCAGATAAAAGTGTGCTGTCAGAAAGGGTGAGGGATCAGAAAAGCTTCTAAAAACTTGGCTGGGAAAAGCACTTTTCTTGCAGCTCGTGTTTAGTGGCTAGTGAAGCTTTCAGGCAGCTGCTTTGCCTGAAATGCCAGATGAGGAATTTCTGGGATCCACCAGGACTGTTCCAGCTTCTAAGAGACACTGAGATACTGCAGGAGCTATCAGATAGTGCAGGAGAGGTGGAACAGACATGCTCGGTAGATGTGACCAAAATACAGTACTGAGAGTTCAGAAGAAAAAGTTCTGGTTTTTTTCAAACATTTATTTTGGCAATATTTCTACGCCAGCCTTAAAGTTGGAACTCTGACATTTAGAGAGTTGTTAAAGAAAGATTCTATTGAGTTGGTTTTACAGGCTGTTGATTGGTGCAGCTCTTTGAGCAGGGGTGTTTGGGCTGGTGGCACACGTGTGTTCTGTGCATGCAGGACTGAACCGGTGGGAGAGGCACTGGTTCATTCTGGGGTTATGTGTTTGTGAGATTGGACCAGCTGCAGCCCTCCCACTTGTCCTCTTAAACGTACCTGAGTGGCTGAAAACTCCACCAAATACCCAGGGTGCTCGTTTTCATAGAATCCCAGGATGTTTTGGGCTGGGAGAGACATCCCATCCAGTGCCAGCCCCTGCCACGGGCAGGGACACTTCCACTGTCCCAGGCTGCTCAGAGCTCCATCCAACCTGTTGTTGAGCACTTCCAGGGATGGGACACTTTGCAAACTCCTTCCTGAGATGCCACACGACAACAAATCAACTTGCCGTGTTGCTCAGGCTGCAGAAATCATTAGAAATGGTTAATCTCAGTGGTTCTGTCTCCCTCCAGTTGCAGCTGTCAGTGCTGTCACAAACCTGTCACAATATTTAACCAGGCTTTGCACGACTAAGTACAGACCGTGCTTGGAGGCTGTCACACACCAAATCCACTCACTGGGGGTCCATTATCCTGGACGTTCTGTCAGAGGGGATAATGCACAGCTTCTGCTCCAGAGGGAACAGATCAGCTTTGATGGAATGCTGCAGCTGCTGCCATGCTTTTACTTGGGCTCTCATTTCCTCTTGCTGGCCTGGGCTGGGCTGTGTCACACCTGTGTGCTGCCTTACTAGCATTGAAATCCCCTCTGATGTACTCACACAGCTGTTTTGTGCTGTGTTGGAACTGCATCCTTTAAATTGTTGATGTTTTGTCTTTTGATCTATCTCTTAATCCCTACTTTTCAGCCCTTTTGATGTGCTCCGTGCTCCCGTGTTTGAGGGAACTGGATAACAATTATTGTAGCTTTGTAGCTCTGCACAGGAACAGGGTGAGGCACAAGATCTGTGTCACAGGGCCACATTGCCTTCTCAACGTGCAGAATTTGTATTTTTGTAAAATTGTCACTGATGAATAATAAAAGGAATTGTTTCTGATTCTCACCTATGAACAACATTTCCACAAAACTGAAAGAGTTGGGGAAAAAAATAAGAAATTTCTGTTTTCCTGATGGCTGGATTAATATCCATAGTAGGAACAATATTCAAGTGTTTTTGATTGCTATCAAAATTTTCTCTATGATGGGTGTACTTACGTATTCTCTTAGTCCTTTTAATTTTATTTAAGTAGGAAAGTTAAGAAACCTTTTCCTTAGAGCCCACTGGCTCTTTTATGATCTGTTTCTAAGAACAATATTTATAAAATAGCAATAAAATACTCACATATCCTGACAACTGATTTTTTAATAAATACAGAAACAACTGTTTTCCTTTCAAAATACCATCTATTCCTTGTGTAATGGAATGAAGAGGAGGGTAAATGGAACTTCAGAGCATGGAACATAAAAATCCCTGATGCGTAATGCAAATTAAAGGGTGCTTTGATTTGTTTTGTTTTGTTTTGTTTTATTCTTTTTTAAACCAAATTCTTCATTTGGAATTAAATTACATAATGCATTTTTAGGACCTGTTTTTGCTGCAGTGTTGCCTAACAGACTGGATATTTGATGGTAGGAAAACCTCAGTCTTATATACTGTAGTCAGTGGAATTTTACAGGAATATCTCAACAGCTTCTCTGGTAATTTCTGGCCATGCTCAAGATACATTATGTTCTATTTACCACAACTCTTATTTCCTTTCCCCTCTGTATCAACACATCTTGGAAATTATATTTTGGTGTTTTATTCAGTGCAATTGTTTCTGGTGCTAGAATTCATAATATCCTACAAGTTAAACAAATTGAAATTGTGAAGAGGACTTAGTTAATAGGATAAAATTAATCCGGAGTAATTGATTTGTGACCCGATCTTTTGAAGAGTAGGCTAAATGTCCTTAGTGCCCTCCTGGTCCCCTCATGACTTCTAATAAGCTACCAGTGCTTAGGGTACAGTGGATTCTAACTCATTAATTAGGCAAGCATTCAGCAGGCATCCTCATGTTCCTGATGCTCTCTTTGCAGTGCCTGAAACTCAGGCACCAAATTTTGCAGATGAGATTCACCACAGTGCCCTGGGCAGAGATGGTCCCTGTGCAATAAATGAGGGCTCCTAAGAGAAACCTGGGCAGCGAGAGGCAGAGCACTGCAAAGCCACAGAAGGTTCTTCTTTGATTTAAGTTTTGTTGGCTTATTTAGTACCACAACCGTAGTTCAAAAATCTCAATTTCAGTTTGTTTATTTCAACATGTTGATGTGATTGGTTTGGATGAGCTGAGAGTATCCTTCTGCATCAGCTTTCCCATTTTGGTTTCATGTCAAGGGCTTCTGCTCTTTCCTTTTCTCCTGCCCCAGTTCTCCTAAACCCAGCTCTCAGAATTTTTATTTTTTTTTGGAGATTATGATCAGTCTGGGGAAGTACATATTTTATATTGGGAATGAAAGAATACATTATTGGGACACCCTGAAAAGCTTTAGCATCCATATCCCCTCTCTGTGACCCTAGACAGATGTCACTGGGAAAAAAACCCAAAACAATTCAGGTTGTCGCTGTGAAGCGTCGAGGTTTGTGCTGGGGTAAGGGCTTATCTCTGCTGTCAGTGGCTGTGGTGTGAACCCTGCTCCTGCAGGCAGCGTTTACACTTTGGCCAAAGCCATCCTCTGCCTGCGAGTCCCCTCAGGGGTGGCTCTGTGTCCTGGGTTTCCTCCCTCCTTCAGCTTCTGTGTACACACAGAGCACTCTGCCTAACGAGTTCTCTGCGTCTGCGTTCTCTGCCACAATCAAACAGCTTAAGAGAAACATTTGAGGGGGGGAAAAAGAATCCTGCAAAGCTTAACATCCTTTTATTCCTTACTCCTGTTTGTCTGCCTCGATTGGCAGGGTTGGAAATGCGTGCAGGGACAGCTTTGTGCTTCCCTCACTCTACAGGTTGTCTTGTTTGGGGGGATTTTTTTGGCTCTTCTAATCTTGACTCAATTTTCAAGACATCTCGTACTGCAGAAATCAAACCTGATGTATCTGGCCTTACTTAGATGCTGGAAATAGATACAAAAATGTCTACTTCCAGGTGTGTTATAAGGTAGTAATGAAGACTGGAGTGAAATTATATTAGAAGTTTAATTTTCACAACTTTATTCTACAGTCATCAATTAAGAATTTTTACTTTTTAAATAGAAAATTGTTTATTCTAGGAAAAAACTGTAAAATGGTAACTCACATTCTCTTTTGGGAAGGCAAGGAGTTAAAAATTGCTATTTTTCAGATTTATGCAAGCATTTGATTTAGAATCTATGTCATGTTTCAAGCTTGTCCAGCTTTTTTATTATAAAATAGAATATATATTTATTATAATTTTATTATAATTGTTATTATAACAACCTACTAATAACAAAATCCTTATTAAAGTGTCACCACTTACCTGTAAACACCTTCTCCAGTTTTCCGAAAGCATCCCAGTTCTGCCTGTTCTTTAACATTCTATCTAATTCTTGAACATCATTCACAAGCTTTTTCTGCCTGCTTGCTCACACATCTTTATTTTTCCTGTCTCGTGAGGGAATGGTTCATAGCAGTCCTTGCAACTTCACCGCTTCGGTTCTCTTTTGATCAGAACCATGCTGTGGGTTCCCCTGGAAATAACGTTTCCATTCCTCTGGTGCTCCCCCCTCATGTAGTGGTACCTGACCTTGGGAAAGGCAAGGGTTAAGGAGCTGTCTCAGGTGCCTGCCTGGAAACTTTGGAAGCAGACTGCTCTGTTTTCCAGGGAATTGTGTCCCATGGTGCTGTCACAATGGTGTGAGCAGGATGTTGTCTGAGGCCTGTAGCAGCAGCACCACCCTGGCAGCTGTGCACTGTTAATTCACACAATAAAACTCCCTTCATCTCAAACTGACCTCATTCTTTCCTCCACCTTCCCAGAGTCCTTAATCCATGACGTGATACAATGCATACATTCCTTGGAGCTGTGAACTTGGAGAACAAACTGGTGTATTTGCATTTCATGGGCCTGCTAGAAGAGGCAGCCCAGACTGGAGAATGTGTCTCTCTATGGCATTCTGGGCTTTCGTTTGTCTTCTTTAATACTGCTCGTGATTTAAGGGCAGATTGGGTCGTGTTTGTGACCAAGCAAAAAAGCTTTTCCTCCTAAGCTATTGTTTACACGTAGTTTTGTTTGAAAACATCTGGCTTGTGCATGAGTGCATCCAGACTAAGTGATGCAAGCCAGCATAGCTGAAATGCTACACAAATAACATTTCTTAGATACAGAGTCATCTTCTGTTCAGCTAGGGTTGCAGTCTAACAAAACATAGATAATCTATTCCTGTGTTGTTTAGCACCGTGGGGTTTCTAAATGCTACAATAAAAAATATTCATAAATCACACACAATACCTTCCAGCACAGCTCACAGCCCTCATTACACAGCAGGTTTCTGAATGCTGAAATGTGAAATCAGAACAAAAGTATTTCCCAGTCTGTGCTGGACTCGATGGCTCTGAGGCTGGATCAGTATTTCTGGCTCCTGCCTCATGGCAGCTGTGGTCACATCTTGCCTACTACCAAAACATTTGGGAAACATCTTGCTTTGTTTTCTCCTTCAGCTTAATTCCACCCAGTCCTCCCTCTGAGAAACTTAGATTTTGATCACAGATGTAGGAAAGAGTTTTCCTTTACCCCACTTCTGTTACAAGTAGTCGTGGACAACAACAGGGGTATGTGCCTGATGGAACACTGGTGACCCAACTTAATAAAGTGCTGCCATTTCTCTCTTCACGCGGTGAACATTTGGGCTCCTGTGCCCCTGCCCTGTTCTAGGCTGCATTTTGGGGATATTCTGATTAATCTTACACTGCCATCTGGCTTTGCCCCTGCCTGGCTGACTGAAGCAGCTCCTGCTCAAGGGAGCAGGGACCAGCTGCTGTGTTCCCTCCTCTGGCAGCGTGGTGGCAGCACCAATCCAGAGGGAACGCTGCTTTTTTCCGTGTCATCTCCCATGTCCAGAGCACGCGCGAGCCAATCCATCACCTGTGGAAAGGCACAATGGACTGTAATCCCAAAATCCTGCCTTGCACTTGCCAGGCCCTGCCCCCCGCCCCGCTGCTGGCTGTTGGCAGAGACCCTCCTAGCTTCCAATGTGGCTCAAGGGGACACGTTTATTGTGCTCTTCCCTCCTGTTGCTCTGAATTCACTCACCTGGCTTCATATGCACTGCCCCATGCCAGGCTGGATGGGGCTTGGAGCACCCTGGGGCAGTGGGAGGTATCCCTTTAAAAATAAAGTGGTTAAACTTAAATTTCAGTTAAATGGAATTTTGGGGTTGGAGTTGGGTAATCAAATAAAAATTCTGAATGCTGGTTTTTCCTGCTTGTTTTACCTCAGAAACAGGACATATAAAAGAACCTGGGGAACATAAATAAAATAGTTGGTAGGAAAGTTAAACAGTGACTGCCTTTTATAATTTCTTTGAAAACAGTTACTATTTGAAGTAGACAACATTTGTTCAACCTTCATCTCCAGTGAAAGAAAAAACACCGTAAAAGCAGACTGAATATGGGAATAGCTATATTTAAATAAACAGTTGGTGTGTCTCCAAAACATAAACTACTTGAAATGAACAGGACAAGCACAAGTGGCTACAAATTAAAGTGGCCTAGTGAAGGCATGGCTTAGAACTGCTTCACTGACAGCATTTTGAGGCTCGGTTCAACCTTTCCCCATTGCTGACCAAGTGATCTCTCCCTGTTGTTTTGACCTTTAGGCCTTTTCTGCTTAGCACATCCTGCCTCAGGGCACTTTTGGTGTGTTCAGAACAGAGACACTGCAAGGGACTGGCCCTCTTACCTGCTCTAACAGCACACAGGGAAATTCTTTTCTCCCTCTGACACCAGATCTTTTGGGAACGGTACTTCCCTGCTGGCTGACATTCTGGAGTCTGTCACAGCAGATGTCTGCCATCCAGTCTGCCTTTGGTTCAACTCTTCACAGCTTTTGAGAGATTCCTCTGTAAAGTTAAAAATGCAGCTCAAAATCTACATGCAGTTGCAGCATGAGACCATAAAGCCAGTGCCAGCACAGTAAAGGAGCAGAGTCACTGAGGTGATTCCTGTACCAAAATAGAATGGCAGATGGTTTTCCAGCCTGGACCCACCTGAGATGGATGGTGACTGTGGCAAACACCACTGGCCCTTCAGGATGGACATGACTTGTGAGGTTTGACCCTTAGGACCCCTTGAAAACAGCCTGGGCTCAAGCCCTTGGTAATTGAAAGTATTGTGAGTTTGGCTAAAACAGGTGCCTGATTTCCTCCCTGCCCTAACATTGATTAATGGTTGGGGATTTTCCCCTGGACTTTGCTAAATAATGGCTCGGAGTGCCTTGGGAGATGCAGTCCGTTGCCTTGCAGTTGTTTTTCACCTTCCTGGGGTGTTTTTACATGAGGCTGAGCGGTCTGTCAAGTTTGAAGGGACTGACAGAGGTGCAACTGGAGTATAAAAACATCTTTATCCAATTAACGAAGCTGCTGCTCGGTTCCCCGAGTGCCACCTGGAGCCAAGGCCTCCCGGGCCTTGGATAAAACGGGGCCGTGCCATTCCCCGGATTCGCCTGCCCTCTGCTGCCCTCCCGGGCAACTTCAGCACTCAAAGCTCCAACTACAGCTGCTTTATTCTGGTTTTCAGGAGCTTTCATAGCATGCACAAATATAAATGTAGAAGGGTATGGAAATGAGAACATACCTCGACACAGTGTTCCTCGATTTAATCCCTGGAGTGGTAAAACACTTCCGCAGTGGCAGCTGTTTGACAGCTCCAAAACCTGCACAACTGCAGTGACTGATCTTCATTAGGGCTTTAATTGCATGACAGAACATTAAACATGTGCTCCTGGGTGCTGCTGTTTGCTGTGCCACTGGTTTGTGCTTTATTTATTTCAGGAAGGCTTTTCCCTGATCGATTCCCACAAGTGGCTGAAGGTAGTGAGGAGAGCAGAGTGCCTGCTGCTCCGGGCACAGGCCAAGGTGAGCCGAGCTGCTTGGAACGTTCCTAATATGTAACACAGATATGGAGAAAATATCTCAAATTTGGCTAAATTAAACTAGAAGGTGTTAATTATCTATTAGATAATTAGAATTTTTTAGGTTTTTTTACTCTAAATACTAAACAAGAGTGGATTGAATAATCTCGGTATCTTTTTTAACTGCTAATATTCAGTTTTTAGACCACTGTCCAAGAGTGAGCTGCTTAAACAGCCAGTCTGGTTTTATTTCACAAGCTCTCTGCCACGGCTAACAAAAAGTTGAAGCAAATCTCTTCCAAGATACCTCTGAGTCAGACTGCACTTCAGCAAACAAATTCTCTAACCAAGCAATTAGTGAGCCATTTTGTGGCTCCTGGCACAGTGGCAGCAGGCTGGTGGTTAAGGTATTTGGTACTCAAGAAAACAAAATGGACATGGGTTTCTGGTCTCCCACTCAGCTCTCGCGATGAAAAGTGTCTGGTTTGCCTTTAAATAATCAAACAGCACTTTCTTCTTACCAATTTGTGTAAAAATCTTAGGTTTTTTTTGTTCTTAGATGAACTCTGATACTCTTATGTATCTTAGTGTTTTAAATTCATGGGTTATGCCTGAAACCACAACACCTCTGCACTCTGCTTTCTCTCAGCTTGTTAGAAAGCCTGAAGACAGCTGGGGCAGGAATTGGTTCTGATGAACCAGCAGATTGTTCCCTCCCAGCTACCAGAGCCAGTCCCCCAATGCAGCATTAAGGGATTCTGCTGCTCCTCACCAGCCAGACAAAACCAACATCACCCTCACTGCGAGGCTGCAGCAAAGCTCTGAGGGGCAGTTTGGGAAAGGAGGAATATTAACAGCCTGAAATTAATTCTGTGCATCTCAGTGTTTACTTACCATAAATCCACACAACTTCAGCTGGATTTAGTGGCACTGCAGTGGTTCTACCACACAGCTTCTCTGCTTTATATCCTAACAGGATGCAGCTTCTGTGCTGATCTTTATGATAAATTTCTGGTTTCTCTTGTACTCCTTGTTTTTTATAAGTCACTACTGCATTTACAGTGGAACTTACTCATCACTCCAAATCCGGCTTCAAAAGGGCACTGTGGGCTCTTAGCCAGCAGAATGAGTTTCAAAACTATGAACAGGAGCAAGGTGAACATTCTCCGTAAGTTTACAATAAATTATTTCCCTTCATACTGTCTTCCTTGAGCTCAGCCCCCCACCCCAGCATGGAAGAGGTGCAAATTTAATGACTCCATGACCTCAGGGTTCTTTAATAGTTGAGCTCTTGTGTGGTTCAGGTGTGACTGCCCAGTCCTGTTTATGCCATAAACCTTGACATATCACAGCTCTCTTTCCACAGAGGAACAATGTTTAATTTTCAAAGTCTGCTGTTGTTTATGAACTGCAAATTCAAGTCTTTAACAGTCCTTGTGAGAAACCCACAGGAGTCCAAATAGCTCAGCCTCAAAATTGACTTGGGGATCTAAACAAGCAAGTGCTCTTTGAAAGTGTCCTAGAGAAACTCCACTAAGTTCCTTTTCTGTCTCTGAAATCAGAACTCACCTACCTGTGTGGCACCCCACAGCTCGGTGGCTGGGTCTATGAGGCTGCCCCAGTTCCTTAATTAATAGTAATGAGGGCAAATCCAATGGGCACTGGCAAATGAGTGCTACGCTTCACATTAGTTTGACTTTTTCCCCTTTAAAAAGCACGGAGGCAGGCTTTCGTGCTTGCCCTGCCCTAAAAATCTCTTTATGTGAGTCAGACTTCTTCAAGCAGCAGGCATGTAAACACAGGGGCTGTCAGGAAGAGCTGCCTCATCTCTGAGACAGGAACTTTAAAGTGAGAGGTGTCCTTGCACTCGCGCTCCAGCAGCCCAGCAGTGTGGAATTAAAATGGGCATTGAAAATGGGTTTTGACATTGGAACCTCACGAAGATGAAGACCTAAATAAGCCAGGCTGGGCCAAGGAGAATTTGCTGCTTTTCTAGTACTTGGAGTTCTTTAAATTTGAAATTTCAAGATCAAACAGGAAGTTCCATTAATTAGCTCTCTAAACACTGAATATACACCCACCTTACATCAGCTCGAGGTGCTTAGGCCAAGCTTATCACCCACCATAGATTGCCATCCCCATTTCAGGGCAGTTTGCTGAACCTGGGACATTTACTAAAACTACCTATTATAGCACAGCCTGACAACCTACTCAGGAGGGTCAGAGCTATCTGTGAGTTTTCAATAATTTTTAGTATCACTTCACTCTTTGAAGTAATGCATTTGAATGTCCTGCACTCTCATTCAACATGTTGGTTTCTGTTCAAGGAACATTTAGGTGAGAGCCAAACTGAACATGTTGGTTTAGCTACATACAGGTAGGATTTACTTTGATGCATCAGGAACATGAATCCTAACTGGAAAATGCCATTCCCTGAATTTATAGTTCAGATCCAGAGTTAACTTCTGCTTACTGTTGTGTCATTTTTTGTCACAACTAACTGTGCAGAGCTGGCACACCCTTACAGGATACTGTAAGGACACCTGCAGCAACAATAAAACTTAATTTTCCTGCTGTGTGTAAAAGCTGAGTCCTGGCAAGGCTTGTCCACTTGGCTAAACATCGAATTACTGACAGGTGGCCCTGCATCACTTACCCTTTTCTTGCATATTTTTATCTGATTTTCAAGTCTGCAATCACAGCCTTCTGGTTAAGCTGCTGGGAATAAAGAAGATACAGCAAGGAAAACCTGTTTATTTGTTTTTAAATCGGTGCAGAGACCCACAAATCTATTGCCTTCTTCCCAACTCCAACAAATCAAGATTTAGTCCAAGTAGTTTGAGGGGATTCCAGGTTAATTTGATTTCCCTGTGGTTGTGAGCAGAACGAGTGCCGCATGTTCCGTGTGCAGTTCGGAGGGAGCTCCAAGGAGGAGGTGCAGGAGCACTGCTGCAGCTGTGTCCAGAAACTCAGCGAGTACATCCCGGTGCAGGGGGCTGAGGAACAGAGCCAGCAGCTCTGCCACGGCACCAGCCAGGACACCCAGGGCATGGACACTGAGCACGCAGTAAGTGACCACACACCCCCAAAACCCATCACCTCTGGCTGGCAGAGCTGGGCATGGCGAGTTTCTCACGGCTCTGGGACTGCCTGCTTACAATTTGAGCCTAACCTGGCACATCAAAAAAGCAATCTTAGGAGGAACAGAATATTTCCCCTCTCCAAGATAAAGTCCTGAGGTAACTGGAAAAGGCAGAGACAGTGTTTTCCAGGGTGATTATTCTGAAATCTCTGCTCTCTTGGGTGTTTAGATGCATGGAACAGCAGCACTGTGCTCTTGAGGGCATCCATACACAGCATTCTTTGAAGTCACTCCTAGGAAGTCATTTGCAACTTCAGTTTAGCCATGAACTAACAGGCCTGTAGTTAAAACTGTCATGTCTTTCATTTTTAAAGACTGGAGCAGATGTGCATGCAGGTTCCATAAAAAGATGCCTTTTTAGTGCAGAAGGTAGCTGAGCACATTCCCTTCCCGTCAGCGCTAAAAATGGAACTGCTTCCCCCCCTGCACATACCCACACTCTGCTTGGTAACAAGCCCTTATTTGCATTTGGTATTTTCTAGCCAGATGAGCCTCTCCCAGACTCCTGCACAAGCCTTGGAGAAAGAAGATCTGTAGCACAGCTCGCACAGGTAAAAAACAAACATCTCCAGTCTGAGAATAAGCTGTCTCAGATTCCATTTTCCATCTGGGAAATGCCTTCCCTGAACATTGGGATGCCATAATCTGTGCTAGCAAAACACTGGATCTGTGTAATGATCCAGAGCCAGGGAATCTGCAGCAAAACAAGGTGTTTGGTGGTGTAATCACCCCATTTGAATAGGAACAAATGACAGGCTGAGAGCAGAGAAATACCCAGAGGCGACATCCAAATGAATGGCTCTGGCACTGGTTTGCCTCTGCAGAAATTACTTGTGCAGATCAGCGCTGAAGCCTGAAAGTATCAATCCTGGAAAGACAGAATATGCCATCTAACCCTGCTCTCTGGCAGTGGGAACCCATTCCCCCTTCTCCTGTCACTCCAGACCCTTGTCCCAAGTTCCTCTCCAGCTCTCTGGGAGCCCCTTTAGGCACTGGCAGGGGCTCTGAGGTTTCTCTGGAGCCTTCTCAACCCTGACCCACAGCAAAGGATCCCCGTATTCCATGGACAGCTTCACGGAGCAATTCTGGGTAAATAGCTGGAAGTCCACTGTTGCTCGCTTACTGGGAATTCAGGTCAGCGCAGAAGCAGATGAGCAGGAAACTCTCTGTTGTTTCTGTCTTCCTTACCCTTCTTTTGCAGTTACTGGGTGAGCCCAGAATCCCAGACTTGTTTGGATTGGAACCTCAAAGGTTACCTCATTCCAAGCCCAGTGCCACTATGCCCAGAGTTCTCCCACCACCATGGGAAAAAGCTGGGAGAGGGGTTTAAACAGGGATCAAAAGGATGTTTTAACATAAAAGCCCCATACTTTGTTTCTAAAGGACATTTGGCTAAATGAAAAGCTTGGAAAAGTGCACACTTGGTTACCCCTACACAATCCATGTGGCAGCATGTACAGCTCATAAAGAGCACACACTGATTACAGAACAGATCCAAGCAGGAAATCAGCACTTCCAGGGTAAATTTCCAACTGGAATAACTGCAGGGGCACTTCACATTGTGTAAAAGCTACTCTGGGATCACACCTGGGCATGAGAGAAAAGCTCACATACACAACCACAGCTGGCTGACAGCATTCCAAGAGCACCAAACGCAGGGCTGGGGCATGCCTGTGTCGCGGACGAGCTCACGGCCACATTTCCAACCTTCCCTTGGCAGTCGGTGCTGCGGCAGCGGCCGGAGCTGCCCCCGGCACTGCCGCACCCAGCCTGGAGCGCCCGGGAGCTGGGGCCCTTCATCCGCCTCTGCCTCATGGACCAGCACTTCCCAGCCTTCGTGGAGGACGTGGAGAAGGAACTGCACAGGCTCGCCGAGGAGTGAGGCGCGCCCGGCACTCCGTGGGGAGCGCACGGCTCCGGCCATTAAAGGTTGAAAAACAAGGCCTACAGCGGTTTTTGTCGGTGTTTTATTTTTAAAAACAGGTGAATCCACTTTTTATACATCATTGCACTTCAACAAATACACAGAACACGAGTTCATGCAGCTACAGTTACGCACATCATGAGAACCCTGGTAGGTCTATTTCTACAATCTTTAAATCAAGAGAAATTACAGTGTCAAACTAAAGAGGAATAACTAGTTGCATAGAATATCACCATGCTGTAACATTTCATCATTTAAACAAAAAAAAAAAAGAAAAACCAAAAGAAAATTATAAAAGTTTGCCTGAATTGAATGTACAAGAATATGTCGAACACATCAGTGCAAAAGGATTTGAGAATTTACATGAGTTAACAAAAAAAAAACCCAAAAAAAAAAAAACTAAACCAAAAATCACTGAAAAAGCAATCATATATATATATTTATAAACTGAAAGTTTGTTTTTGTTTCCAACTGCATCCCACCACCACCAGCAGCCCCTGGCACCACCCAGCCCTGACACCCAACAGGACACCCCGCGCTCCACGGTTAAAGCCCTTAAGGAAATTCCAATGTGCCGGCCCGGCATCACTCCCCTCCTTCCAGCCATACAGTAAGGAATGAATATCAGCAGCTTCAAAATGAACCACAATGACTTCTGGTTTCCCCTCCCCCAAATATAAATATATACTGTATATATCTTTAAGTTTTGCTGTACTTTACAAAAGAAGTCTCACTAGATGGCAGCGGTGCGGTTTGAGCGGTGCCGAATTTAACAGCTACAGGAAGTAAAAAACAGCGCATGCGTGAACCCGCCTGGCTACTGCTCGTGTAAAGAGAGGAAAGGAGGAAAAAAAAAAAGCAACATTCACAGCACATCAAGCCCAAAAGAGTTTACACCTTCTACACAGAAGCATTATTAAAATTCATCTGGCTAGGTCATCCTTGCAGGAGAGGCTAAATAAGGCATGCGTTAGACAGTCATATTGTTGCTCACTTGGAAAGGAAAGAAAAAAAAAAAAAGAAATCAGACAGAACCGGAGTTCTAGAACCAAGAGTTCCAACCCTTAAATTTAGCAGGTCATATTGCCATCAGTCTCTCAGAAACTTAAAGCTCTAAAAAAGAAACGAGAAAGAGGTGCTAGTCAATGGTGAACAGTGTGAGCCGCCGCAGCCTCCAATCCCCGCGCTCCCACTGGGGCACGGCTCCCGACAGCCCCAGCTCCACCTTTCAGTGGGGAAATCAGGAGGGCTCGGCAGCTTCGTCTACATTTTAGTAAGCAGGTCCTTAAACCACCCGCCTGTTTGTGGAAATCAATGTTTGGTCCCCCCCGCGCTCCCCGAGGCGCAGCGGGAATGTTTTAATCCGGGGAAGGAGTTTGCTGCCGTGCCCCCAGCACTCTGGGCAGGAGGGCTGGGCCTGCCCGCTCCCGGCCGGGCGCAGGCAATACTTACATGATGAGCATTTTTAATTTGTGTTTCTCTGACGTAAGTTTTTGTCTTTGTGATTGTTTGTAGAATTGGTTTTCCTGCAGAAAGGGATGAGAGAGAAATGCACCAGGAATCAGTCACGGGTACAAGGGAAAATGAACATTATTTGTACTTCATTAAACAGCGTTTCTGTCTTCCTCCCTTTAACTGGCTGAAGACAACGCTGCTTTAAACTTTATATTTTAGCACATTTGTTTTCTAGCAAGATGTTGCTTTTCTTTCCTCCAGTGCTAAGAAACGCACCAGACGGTCCAACACCATCTGTAATGTCACATGCAATATCAATCCTATGATTTATCACCTCCCACAACCCCCCCAGATTAACCCAAAGAGGGTTTTTTTCCTGAAAACACACTTACATTGGCCCAGCTGGTTCATCATCTGCAGCAAGCATCCCGATGCACGCAGGGAGAGACAAGGGAAGGAAAGAGAGAGACAGTCAGTGTTTGCAGGGGGCCGCAGTGTGAGCAGCAAACTGATCTATCTACAGCATCAAAGGCCATTCAAGTTGGGAGTGCAAGGATCATGGAATTACTGCTCTGGATTCGGGTTTAATGGCAGGTATGTTGCTTCAATGGGTTTAGTTAACACTTGGAATGCTGGTCATGAAGGACTGCAACTGTAGCGGACAGATTGGTGCAACACGGTCAAGACTCATCTTGTCCCCAAGTTCCAGTGGTTCAATCTCATTAAAAATAAGATGAGGAGACAAACCAACGGTTCAGTTGTAAAATCCTGCTGGATGTTTGCTTGCATTGACTTTTTTTTTTTAATATGTATTTTAATTTTTAAGCCATTTTTCCACTGCATTGCTTACTGATGGGTAACTCCTGGTGTATATACCCCAGAGGGTACATACCCCACACTCATTTTCCCCCGTGGATGAAACAACCTCTACATTCCCCATTTTTCTCAGTGTTTAATTAGAAAGGACCCAGGTTAGGAGGAGGCTGAAGGGGGACACTGGATTCCAGCCCCAGCCATGGGCAGCAGCATCCGAGGAGTCAGGAGTGCTGGGACACCTCCGGAAGACTGATGGCATCGTCCTGCCCATGGCCCCTGGCAAAACTTATTTAAGAACTGGCGGGGGGAGGGAGGGGAGGAAATCTGCCAATGACGAATGTTTCGTATTAACTCTCATGACCAATTGGGCTTTTTTTTTTTTTTGGAATTCTCAAACACTATTTTCTCCCACGCTGCAGTACAGAAGACAGAAATGCATTTCCACAACAGTACAAGAGTCAATCCAGGAACCGAATGCTCCCACAGATGGATTTTGGGGGGACCAATTCAGGCCCTGCTGGCTTTGGCACTTGACAGTTGCCATTCCCACCTTGTGCCGGAGGGATTTTTCAGGGAAGTCTTTGAGAAACTCTCAGCAGGATTCCACAAGGGTGCTTAGTGCACATGAAGCAGTTATGGAAATTACAGTCTTACAGTGTAGGCATCCGCATGAGCACACGCCAGGAGTAATGTCGGGGAGAGGGGACATTACTCCACCCGCGCCTTCCAGGCAACGGAGAGGCAAAGCCACCGCTAGCACAGACAGTGACCAGAACAAAAAATACTTCAAAAATAAAGAACTAACCACAAACCAAGAGCTTTACAGCCAAAGTAACAGACTAGCAACACACCGGTGTCCACAGAATTCCAGTACCAGCAACAGTAACTATCGGACACGGTACAGAGAACTGGGACCAGGAAGGACAGCCAGACATCAATGTGCTGTTGTATATACAGTGAGATATACAGAGACACATCAGGTACTCAAACACAAAGCACAGCTGAGGAATCTATGGCTTCCTTCCACAAACATCTTTGGGACTCAAGGATCCTGGAGCAGCCCAGCTCCGCACTCCGGGCGGGACAAGCCTGGGAAGAACAGCGAGCCCTGGCCCTCAATGCCAGCGCTGCCTCTGAGACCCAACTCGGCTCCAACAAGCACCATCGACAGCTTTGGGAGTTTGTTTGGCTGGACTTCAGCAATATCAAACTGCACTGTGGACACTCACTACAAAATAACCATTTTCCCTTCTCTGCTCAAAGACTTAAATGCCCAGTTCAGATCAGCAAGTTTGTGTTATCAAAAGAAAAAGAAAAAAAAAAGAAAAAAAAAGTAAAATAAAAAAAAGAAGCTCCACATTTATAAAGGCTGCCGTCGGTGATTCCTCACGAAGATCCCACAAAAAAAGCCTAATGGAATACTTTAACTAGATAGATGGTGGATCCCCACCACTCCTCCCTGTCCCATCTCTAACCTAAACCAGAGATAAAAAGAGCGAGGGAAATTCCCAGTCGGGCGTTAAATGCTGGAAAAGCATCCCCAGTACAGTACAGACACAGACCGAACCCTCAGTGAAACCAGGGGCAACAGAACAACAGAAAAACCAGTACAAAATCAGACTAAAGAAAAGGTTCAAAACAGCAAACTGAAATCCAAATTAGTCGTGAACGTGAATGAGGAAGTTTTCAAGAGTGTTAACGTTATGACTTGTGCGTTGTATAGACTGAAGCGGAGGTTAAACAAACTCCAAAGCATGCAGAGCTCTCACTTACCACCATTTTTTAAGGGTATGATGCAATTGAAGGGGGGAAAAAAAAAAGAAGTCATAGTAACCGACAAGATCAATATAACCCAAAGCTTTAATGCCACAGCCCTGCTCTAGAACAGTCAGTACCACCTATGGCACAGGGACATCCCCCAGTGCTCCTCCTGCAGGATCTCCACTGCGACTGAGCATCTGCAGGCTCCAAAACCCCCCTGAGGTTACAGAGCTCAGCAATAACCCCCACAGCCAGGCCCTTCCTGCGGGGATGGAACGAAAATGCCCATTCCTGAACCGAAATGAGAGAACTGCTGCTTGGCTTTAACACATGTAATCAATCCCTGCAGGCAGAAATATCTGGGAATTAAAATTGGAAGATGATGACAAGTAGATCTCCCTTAGCTCCTCCACTTGTATGGGAATGTGTTTTGTGCCCCCCCCTCCACTTTCAGCCTTAATTTACAAGGCATTTTGTATGTCACTCACTTTCTTTCACCGCCTTTGGAAAGCTACAGGGTTTATTTTTAGTATCAAATTAATCCTGGGTAGCATCTTGTGACTGGTGGAAGTTAAAAATGAAGCACTAGCCGGTTCTTCCAGCTAAGATTCCAATTTCTGCTTCTGAAGGGATTCTACATCTCAGCTCAAGCTTTAAAACCTGCAAAGAATCCCAGAACGGCTTAGGCTGGGAAGGGACCTTAAAGCCCATCCAGTGCCATGAGCAAGGACACCTTCCACTGTCCCAGGGTGCTTCAAGCCCTGTCCATCCTGCCCCTCGGCACTGCCAGGGATCCAGGGGCAGCTGAATGCTCTGAAGGAGCAGCCAGAGCCTGTGACAAGGGTCCTGTGCTATGGTCCATTCCCCCTGGGATACACCGACGCTGCTGGGAACAGGTGATGGCTGTGGCCTCACTATCTGCTCCCCCTGACAAATTTTGAAGTGTGGGAGAGAAAGATGTGCATAAAAGGGATAAAAAAAACCCACCAAAATCACTGGTTACAAAATGCAAACGGTTGCAGGTTAAAACAGTTTGTTTCTTTCAGTTACTTACAGTAATAGCAGGAACAGAGAAAGTCAAGAAAAAAGCAAAAGAGGGTTAGAAAGAATGTGGGGATTTGGATGGAGCTTCTGCAGAGCCAGGAGAAGAAACACATTTATGTGAAGTCTTAGGGTTAGGCTGAGGAATGAGAGGGGAAGAATGAAAAGGGACATGTTATAACCCAGTCACCTCACGGCTTCGGACTCGAGATCATGACTACGGATTTACAAGTAAAAACCACTCCCACTCCTCAGGGGAATGGAGCCAAGGGGCTTTTACTGTCTTCTTACCCCAGAAAACCCCCTTTAACCCAGGGCTGTGCTGATTTTAGACTGTTTGATCCAACACCAGCAGAAAGCCAACTCCCTTTGGGAGCCTTTGCTACGCTACGCTCGGTGGTGCTGGCTGATGGCTCCATCTATGGAAACCAGGCAGGAGGAACAAAGCCATTCCCTTCTCCCGTGCCCGGGGGAGCACCCCGGCATTCCCTGCTGGCCCCGCGTCCGCCGGGCATGCAGCCACGTGCCAGGGCATGCCACGCTCATGCAGCGCTCGCCCCCAAAGCCACAGAAGCCACACGTGGCCAGCCCCCTCTGGATCTGCCAGCCCCTGGCCGCTGAGCACTGCCTTACCGGGCGTAAGGCAAGTCAGAACTGGCGTTCTGAAAGGATGCAGGGATTCAAGCGCCAGCTGCCCTCCCTTCCTCCTTCCAGCACAGGATTTGGATGCGCTGGGGGAACCCCTCATCAACGGGCTCCGCAGCAAACCCCCTGCCGGGCACCCCCTGCTGCACCATTTTGGTGGCAACAGGGATTTCACGGGTGCGACGTTCCTTTTCCTGCTCTCCAGCAGCAGGGAAAAGAATCGGGTCCCAAATCAGAGTTCTGAGAAGGAGGAAACATCAGCAAAAGAGCTCCTGAGCAGCCCTGGCCCGAGGCACGCCAAGCAGCTCACCGGACACACAAAGCGAGGTCCATGCAAAACCCAGCCCTGCAGTCAGGAAATGCCAAAGTTAAAGGAGCGTCCCCGCTCTTCCGGCACGGCAGCGCTTCCAACAGAGGGAACATCTTTCCACTGGGAAGTGTTTTGGGAACACAGCACTGCTCCAAGCGTACCCAGGAGTCCATCACCCTCCCAAACCTCCCAGGGATGGAGCCATGGGCACGCTGAGCCAGGGCATTTGAAGCCTGCAGAACATGGAGATCAGAGGGAAAGAGAATTCAATCAATTCTATCTTTGGGCTGGCCAGGCAGAGTTCCCAAGTGCTGGGGGGAAAACTCCAGACACCTGAGGATCCTCTCACCCAGGGAACGCTTCTGTCCCTCCAGTCACGTCCCCCAGGACTAACTGGGCACTTGTGCTCAGCACCAGACTGGTCTCACCTGAAGAACTGACCCAGCACACCCCAAACACTGTCATTTGCATAGCTTTAACTGAGCCGGCCCTAAAGTATCACCTGGGCTCATGGTGGGCACCTGCAGCTCCCAGCAGGCTCCAAGAGGAGCAGCTCATCCTGAACTGCCCCGGGCAGGAGCCAAGGTGTGCACCAGCAGCTCATTAACAGCTCCTTCTCCAAAAGCCTTTGATTTTCCTGAGCACAGGAAGTGGCCGCCTTTAGGAGCACTGGCTTTCTGCAGCTTGTAACAACAATCCTTGGAAGTGGTCATCCCCCAGCAGGAGGATCCCCGGGCACTCATCCACAGGGCAATCCATGCTCACTCCTGCTGTGGGACCCGGGCTGACACACCACAGACACCTGGGGACTCCGGAAGGGCGTTCCAGAGTTACCCCACCCCGGGAAGTTGGGGTGACGGTGGCGATGATGATGATGAAGCAATCTCGGTGTCTAAATTTGGAGAGGTCCGAGGAGAACATTCCCATGCCATCAGGAAGGGCAGCACCAGCTCAATGGTTGTTGTAGCACCACCTCAGGTGGAGCTCTGCCACGAGCACGATCCCTAAAGCTGAGCACGTCCCACTGACACCAGGAGTGGAAAAGCCGGCGGAGAGATCCTGGCTGGTGCCAGATGCTGTGGATAACGAGTGCTGTGGTGTTTGGCTCAGCCTCAGCTCCCCGACGCTCCTTCCCCGCAGCAGCGGAGGCGGAGGGGTGATTTTGGAAGAGGGAGCTGAAATTCCAAGCACCGAGCACGCCACTGCATTCCGGCATTAACTTTGGCATTTCATAACCATGTCTTGAAAATAATCAAATTTGGGATAACCCAGGTCAAACATCCACACACGTGGGAATCAGGAGGCTCCCAATGATTTCCCACGTGTGCATTTGTCCGTGCCCTGCTCCCGGGGCGTTCTCCACCACGGCAGCACAGGAAGCTTCGATGCCAGGACGGAAAATGCACAGCTATCCAAGGAACGTGGGACTCGGGCGGCACGACACGGACTGTTTCCATCTGCCAGGCAAACCTCATCCACAGGGATGGACTGTCATACTCAGCATGGATTTCTCCTCCAGGAAAGGGGATGGGGAGAACACCTGACCCCCACGGAGGTGCCTCATGTCACTCTCCAGGCCTCTGCCTTCAACACAGTGGCCCCAGTGGTCACTGGAGCAAGCTCAGCTCCTTGGCTCATCATCCCGGACAGCTCCGGGGGGATGATGAGCCTGGATCCCTCGGGTACCTGAGGAGTGGCCAGACCAGCCAGGAAAACTCCCACCTTGGAAAGAGTCAGTGAATCCTTCACCTCCAGCGGGAGCTCCCCTGTGCTACCACAGCGGCTGTGCCGCCATCGGGTCACGCCAAAGCCAATTCCTGTTGGATTCAGTCCGTTTGGGGCTGCTTCCAGGGAATATTTGCCTGTCAAATTCCCAGGACCTTGTTTTGGTCCTTCTGAAACTTCATCCAATGAAAATTCTGAATGCGGGGAACTGGAACGACTGACATGGAGGTGGGTACATGCAAGGGAAAATGAAAATTGTCCCAAGTTTTCCGGGCTGGTGGAGGTCCCCGAGGCCACACTGAGGGCAGGGCAGGCCCCAGAGGCACGGGAAGCTGTTAGTGATGCACAGTACATGCACTACGGTTCAACCTGGGGGCTCCACCCCGAGAGCAGCCCCCACACATGCTCTGGAAGCAGTTAGTAAGTGCTACTCAAGGCTTACAACCAAAGCTGGTTTCCTCTAGGGATGCACTGCTTCAGCCAGTTCTGATCCAAGCCTCGGCCCTTCTCCCATGATTCCATTTGTGTTCCACGAGCTCCTCTCCTCGCTGGGGGTCCCACGTGAGGCCCGTGAAGGTGGCTGTGCCCACCCCGCATGCAGATCGCTGTCTCATACCTCTGTTTCCATGGCCTGCGAGGGCCCAACCCTGCAGCCCCACAGCCCCAACCAGCTCTCCCCGAGAAAGGCTTGGCCAGCCCGGGATGGTGCTGAGGATCTCCAGCACGCTGCCCTCCACCTGCTCCACGCTTGGATCCATCGTGTTCCTACAGCACCGTGACATTCCTGCTGCTTCTCCCAAGGAGTCCTTGCACAAGGTTTCTTGCTACACACTGGAGTAAGCTGCGAGCAGCACATTAAAGGCTGCTCCTCAGCAGGGATCTTGCAAATACTCAGACTCACACTGCCCCTGTCCCCAGCTGTGAACAGGGAAAGGTGTGCAGGAGAAGCTTGCAGATAGAAGTTACTACTAGTTGTACATACCAAACACAGATTATATAATTAATTATTGCTACCATCAAACCTGATTAAAAGCCCTATTTTTATAAAATCTAATCAGTGGCTACAATTAGCTATGGGTTCCAGAGCATTCCTTAACTACACATTCAGCCACGCAGCAGCGTTAAGAGCCCTCCCCCCGTTGCTGAAGCCTGGACACATTTTAGTTTTGAAGCACCTTTGCAGCCCCAATCCCCTCAAGTGCAGTGATTCCTCAGTTTGAGTGCACTGCTCCCTCACAGCCCCTGCCCAGTGGCCGATGCCACGGGAAGGAGGGAAGGCCACGGGGGCCGAGGGCGCTGCCAGCTCTGCCCCTGTGCCGCCCCACGCTCCTTGGGGGCGGACGGACAGCGATTCTCAGGAGAGAGACGGGAGCAAAGCTTTAAAGATACCCCAAAACCCCCCTCCCATGCCACAGTCCGCAATCCAGCCCTGGGCCTTGCACCCTGTGGGCTTAACGTCCGGAGAGGGAAGAGAGGAGCGAGGCAGGAGCGTGGAGCGGGACAGAGCGGGCTGCTGGTCCTTCCTGCGCGAGGCCCCTCGGTTCCTGCGGCGGGGCCGCGCTCCCTCACGGGTGGCGCTGGGCGCACTTACCGTCGGGAACTTCATCCGGCCGCTTCCGCTTCTCGTAGATGACGATGATGACCACCAGGATGACGATCTCGGCCAGGATGCCCAGGAAGGGCCACAGCGGGGCCAGGTGGCTGCGCACGCGCAGGATGGTGGTGACCGACACGGAGCCCACCTGGTTGGTGGCGTTGCACTGGTACTCGCCAGGGTCCTCGTTGATCTGCAGGTTTGTGATGCTCAGCTCGGTGTAGTTCTCTTTGTTGGAAATGAAGAACCTGCCCGAGGAGTTGTTGATGTCCTGGCAAAGGGATGGGGGTGGGAAACAGCAACAGCTTTGAACTTCTGGGGCTTTGTGGCACGGGAACAGGAGATTTGAGGGAGGAGCAACACCACCAAACACCACGAAGGAGCCCCGCACTCAGGGCCCGACCACTGCCAGCGCTCAGCCGCTCCTTCAAACCTTCAGCTCACGCCCAGCAGGGAACACTCATCCCACCCCGTTACTTGCTGCATGTCTGGGCTCCATCCATCCAACTCTGCCTCCCTGGCAGGTCATGCAGCAACAGGAAACAGGGGTTAGAAATTCCCAGCTCTTCTCTGCTGGTCACGTTTTCCTGCTCACTACATCGCTGGCTGCACGGAACAGATCACCCAAGCTCTAATGGACATCACTGCCACCTCCTCAGATCAACTCTTGTGAGCTTAACCAGTGAAACTTGGAGGAATTTATAACCCAGTGTGGTTTTAAATCGTGTTTCCTAAGTGAGATCTTGCAGTTTGTAGCAAATTCCAGAAAACAGCTTTCAGGGTAAGTTCTTAACTTTGCCCAGCAATGCAGCAAGCAGCTTGTTTCACATACCAATAATAGAAATATCAATTTTATATTCACCCATCCATCCTCACCGCTGCTGAAAATACCCACTCACACTCTGGAGGGACTGCACTTTGAGGAGTTACAGTGCACCTTCAACAGCCCATCCCTAACCCCAGGCTGCTGCTTTTCCTCCCTCTCCGGGGCTCTGGGCAGGTGGAGACACCCTGACCCCCTGTCCTTACCTCAAACACCCCATTGACCTTCTTGCGCCAGACCCACTCGGGGTGGGGGAAGCCCACGGACTTGCAGTACATCAGGGCCTCCTGCCCCTCGTTTTTGTTCTCGCTCCTCTTGTGCCCGGTGATGTCAGGAGTGGCTACGAGACAATGGAGCGACTTGTTGAGTACAAACAGGCTTCTTCCACTCATCGGGACAAAAATCCCTCCGGCTCCCTGGAAGCTCTGCTTTCCCACACTGAGGGGATTTTATGGAAGAACTGTGTTGGTGTGGGGGGAGCAGCCCTAAACCCCGTACCCCGTTTGTGTCCCTGGGAGCAGCCCTAAACCCAGTATCCTGTTTGTGTTCCCGGAAGCAGTCCCAAAGCCTCCCCAGCAGCCCTAAATCCTCTTCAGCAGCTCTAAATCCCGTGCCCCTGTTTGGGTGTGTTCCTGGCAGCAGCCCTAAACTCTCCTCAGCAGCCCTAAACCTCTGTTCCCTGTTTCTGTCCCTGGAAGCAGCCCTGACCCCATGTCCTGTTTGTGTCCATGGGAGCAGCCCTGACCCCTCCCCGAGCTCAGGCTGGCTCAGGGCAGTGCCCTGGCCCAGCAGATGGCCCCGGGTGCAGGGCCCACCGTTAAAGCTGCAGCTGCTAATTACAGCACACGTGGCTGGCTGTGTGATGGCAGCTCTGAGCTGTTAATCCAGCCAAGGCCAGCCCGGCTGCTCCAGGAAATGGGAATTTCCTACAGGATACGCAGAGGGAGCGCTTGCAGCTGCAAGCTGAGGTGATGAAGGCAATTTCACCGCTCTGCTCAAAGGGAACAAAACCTCTCGTGCCACCCAACAGCAGTTGAGCCTGCTCTTCCCAAAATTAGAGCACAAATCTTTGGGAAAACAAGCTGACGTGAGATTGGGAAGCACAGGAAATCCATGGCTGTGGGAAAAGCTGAGCTGCAGCTCCTGCCGGTGTGTGTTCACCTGCCAAGGCACGCCAGGAGAGGAGTTCTCCAAGCGCCCGTGGAAATTCCAACAGCATTCCCAAGAGCCCTGGGCTTTGCAGGAGTCCTGAGCAAAGGATGAAGCTCAGCCAGATGCTGACTCATTCATTCCAAGATGATGCCAAGCAAAGCTGTGATAGGCAGGAACGGGCTGAGAACAAACCCAAGGGGTTTATTTAAGGAAACCCAAAATGAATCTTTCTACTTCGGACATAAAAACACTTCGAGAGACAAAAAACCCGACCTGAATGAAGGCACCAGATCCAAACAATGCCCGGGTCTCCTACAAAAAGGAGCTGCAGGAAGAGCATTCCCCACCTGCCAGGTGATTCCACACTCCCTGTGCCTGCAAGGGGCAGGAACACCTGGAGCAAACGGAATTTCTGAGCTTCAGCTCCTCAAGTGGGAAATCAATCCAAGTGGGGAAAGAAATCAGATGAGCTGGGGCTGGGTGTGCTGTGCTGCTCCAGGATCCCAGGCACTGCAGAGCTCCTGCACCCTCCCAGCCTCGGAGAGGAAAATGGCATCGATTCCAAATCATGAGGGCTCCAGAGGACAATTCCAGCTTGGAAGGTGCCACCACTACCCTGCTGGCCTCTGGGTGTTCCCAAAGCAGGAGCTGGGGGAGCTCCTGTGGCTTTTGCTTCCTGCAGGGAGCTCCTCTAACCTACAGACACGGAAGCCCAGCGGGGACAAGGCAGCGATGCCGAGATGGGATGGAATGGAATAAGGGACTGCAGACTGGGAACGATCCCATGAGGAAAAGGAGCGATGGCATTCAGCAGCTCGGAGCTGCAGCTCCCATGGGCTGGCTCCCAGCGCCATCCCGAGCACAGCCTGGGAAAGGGAACAGGGACAGCACTCCCAGCTGGCCCAGTTTGTGTCAGGCTGGGAAGGGGAAAGGAGGGAATGATTTCTGGGACACCACTCCTACTCCAGAGTGACCCAGTACCACTGCTGGAGGGAGAGGTCTGATCCCAGGGGTGATCCCAGAGCCCAGGGGTGAGCCCAGGGGTGATCCCAGGGGTGATCCCAGGGGTGATCCCAGCAGAGCAGCAGTGCCCAGCACACCTCCCTGGCTCCTCGCTGGCTCTGCTGGGCCAGGGCTGTTCCTGGGGCTCCCTGGGATCATTGGGCAGGGTTTCAGGGCTCGGTGCCACCACTCAGACTCAAGCCCAGCATTTCCTCTCCCAAAGAGTGCGGGAAACCGTGTCCTGCTGTCCCCAGATCCCTGCAGCCCAGCTCTAGCAGGTTTTTCCTGGGAAGCTTTTCAAGGCAGGATTGCCCCTCGCACTGCCCCAGGTTTATTTGGGAAGGATTTGGATTTTCAGAGTCTCCTCTCTGCTCAGCTCCATCACTGGCACCAGGAGAATGCCCCTGGCAAAGGGAGGTTGGAATTCCTGTACTCCCAGCAGGCACAGAACTCGGTGTGCAGCACCTTTCTGAAGGCTCTGGGGGTCACACAGCCTGGAAAATTCATTTCCTCATCTACAGGAGGCATCCAGCCCCTCCAAGCTCTTTACTGGAAAGGCCAGGGAAATTTAAATGTGTAACGCCCCCAATGCGTGGCCCAGTTACCTTCAAGTTTCCCATTAAGAGACAAAACTAAAGCAAGGGAAAAGCACCTAAAAATATTCCTGCACTGCAAACTGGGATGTGTGACCTGGAACAGGGGCTCGGGAAGGTTTCTTTTTCTGGTCATGACTCCAATCCCTGCTTCCCTCTGGAGCCTGAAGATACCGAAAGCGCTGGGAGAAGGGGGATGTGAGAGGATTTTCCAAATATTAAAATGAATGTTGTGTGCATAAAATTGGAAACCTTTGCTGTATTAATATAGTTTTGTTTCTGTTCTTGATAAAACTTAGAAATAGTGGTGTAATATGTGTATTTATGTATTTTTGAGGCTCTAGCATGGTATTAGGACAATCCTTTGTTAGTGAGGTTTGCTCTCTTGGCTGAATGCTGAGGCACCCGGCCTCATATAATGATATAATGATATAATGATATAACCTGGCCTTATAATTATTTAAACTTTTAATTTTAATAAAATTAAATTTATTTTATTATCAAAATAATAATGATTTCTACATTTTGCTTTTTCTATCTATTATTTTATCTATTATTTCTATCTCATAACTGTCTTTCCATTAAACTTTTTAAAATTTTGTTAAAAAAATAAAACTTGAAGCTTGTTTTTGGAGGGGCTGGGGAGGCAGCAGCACGCCCTGGGCTCTGGGGAAGCTGTTCACGAGCTGTTAGAAAATCCCTATTTTTGGAGCCCCCTCCTTTCCCTGTGCAGCAGCAGCGAGAGCTGCACCGTAATTACAGCCAGCAATTAAATCTAGCTGTGATTGCTCCAGCACCAACACGACTCATGCAGGTAAATACTGGGTTACAGATGTGCACGGGCAGCCCAGGTGCCTGCCCCTCACATCTGCCCAAAGTGCAATCCCCATTTATTATCCCCAGGATAATTAATTATCCCCAGGAGCAGCGGTTGAGGAGTATTGAGGTGTAAATCACCTGTGGGAAGCGAGTAGGATCGGTTCTCCTCACACTTCAATCACAGATATTGTTTTATCTGCACCCAGAGTGAGCTCCCAGCTCCCTGCCGAGCTTTCCTGCCTGGAAGCCAAGCAGCCAAGCACCAAAAGCAAACCCAAAAAGCCTCAAAAGCTTGCCCAAAAAGCCTCAAAAGGGCCATGCCTGGATCATCACAGCTGGCACAGGCCATGCTCCGCTCCCAAAGTTCCATTTCCCCTCTCTTTGTCACCTCAAGCGGCCCAGAGGAGGCAGCTGGAACTCACATTTTGGATTTTGAACATCAGGAGATTCAGCAATCAGAGGGAAAGGAAAAATCCCCAAGGAAAGGAAAAGAAGGGAAATGAAACCCTTCCACCCCAAACACCCAGCCAAGCCCTTCAGAGGCAGGGGGTGATGGAATCCCATTTCCCACAGGCTGAGGGATGCTCCCAGCCAGATCCCAGGGCACCAGCAATTCCCAAACTCCCTGGGCGTTGGGGAGGATGAATCAGGGAAACCTTATGAATATGATTGTTTAGCAAAAGATTCTGAAAATATGAAACCTAGAATTAGAAATGAAAGCTCGCTCTGAGCTATAGGATACTGAGTGTTAGTTACTGTATAACCAAAGCCAGCTGAAGGAGAATCCCTGTTGATTGAACAATGTCCTTCTGCACATAGAGAACCCAAAGGTCCAGCAGCAAGAGAAGAACTTGTAGAGCTTTTAGAGTTTGAAATGTAACACTGTATGGTAATGTAGTAGTTCCTATAGGCTATATGTAAATTCTATAGAATGTGTGTCATGTACCGGTTGGTTACTGGGAATTGGAACATTCACTATAGAAAAGACATTCACTATATATCATGTACTGTAACAAGAACTTTGCTCTCTTAACTCCCACACTTCTCTTATTCTTACCAGCTCTCTTAACTCTTACCCTCTCTTAACTTCTGTACCCGCACCTCTCTTAACTTTTATTCCCTTCTACTCTCTCTCTTAAGTGCTCTCCCCTCTCTCTTACTTTTACCCACTCTCACTTCTCTTATTCCCTGCTCTTACCCCCTCTGGCCCCTCTTTCTGTACCCCCTTAATCACCTTCTTCCCCCATGCTCCCACATTCCTCTCTCCACTCTCCCTCCCTGATCACGTGTAAGCTGTGGCTGGCAGCAGGAACCCAAACAATAAACTATTATAAACTATATCATTTATATCGTTTAATAGCTGAACAGCCTGACCCTGGAGCAGTCTCTCACCGCCAGCACGTGTTTTGCACATCCACACCTGGGAGTTCAGAGCTGCCCTGTGGCTGCCCCAGCAGCGCCGCTGGCAAACCTCACCCAGTCCCAATTTCCCATTCCCAATTTCCCATTCCCAATTTCCCATTCCCAATTTCCCATTCCCAATTTCCCATTCCCAATTTCCCATTCCCAATTTCAGCCTCCTGGGAGCTCTCCCCGTGAGCCGTCCCTCGGAGCTGGGGTTTGATGGATGCAGTAAAGGATTGGGATGGAGACGGAAGGCACAGGGAGGCTCGGGGTCCCTGGGAGCTGGGTTTTTATGGATGCAGTAAAGGATTGGGATGGAGACGGAAGGCACAGGGAGGCTCGGGGTCCCTGGGAGCTGGGTTTTTATGGATGCAGTAAAGGATTGGGATGGAGACGGAAGGCACAGGGAGGCTCGGGGTCCCTGGGAGCTGGGTTTTTATGGATGCAGTAAAGGATTGGGATGGAGACGGAAGGCACAGGGAGGCTCAGGGCCGTACCTCGGACCTCGATGGTGGCGTTGGCGACAGGCGAGGCGGAGAACACGAACACGCACAGGTACTCGCCCGACTCCTCCGCTCGGGCCTTGGCGATCCTGCAGCACAAGGGACAGCACCGCCGGCTCAGTGCCCCACACCCATCAATCATTCATTAACAATTAACACTTGCTAATTGCTCACTGTTATCAGAACCCACCCCCCCAGCTTCATCCTCCAAAAGGCTCCTCGGCTTCTGTTCTTCTTAATTGATTTTAAAGTAATTTTAATGCATTAATTTTAATTTTTTTTTAAAAAAAAGTTAAATGTTTTTAGTTAATTATTTTGTTCTTTAAATTACTTTCGTTGTTCAAATTATAAAAATATAATAATTGTATTTAATATAAAATATAAAATCAATATAATATAATATAATTTATAGTACATAATAATATAACATATGTTATATATACTATATAATTTCCATATAATTTCTATATAAATATATTTTTATTATATTATATATGATTATATATAAAATAATAAAATACATAATTATATCTATTATATTATTTAATAGTATTTTAATATTATAATGACATAATTATATTATTAAGTATTAAACATATTTTTCATTAATTTGTAACTGCTTCACTTCTATTTTTAATAAAATTAAAATATTTTAATCTCATTATTAGAATAATTATTATAAAATAATTTAAAATTCATTTTAAATGTTTTATTTTTTAATTAAATATTTTAATAATTTTAATATATTTAATTACATTAAATATATTAAAATGAAATTTGTAAGTATTATAAAAGAATTATTTAAAATTAATTTAAAATATTTTAATTATTTAATGAAATATTTAATATATTTACTATAACTAATTACTTTAATTTTATTATTAAAATTATAATTATTATAGAATAATAATTTTAAATTAATTTTAAATTATTTTCATTTTTAATACATTATTTTAGTAAATTTATTAGAGTTTAATTATTTAGTATAATTATTTTATATAATTTAATAATTTAACATAGTTATTCCATTAAAATTTATAATCAATTAAATGTTTAATTTTAATATATTTAATTACATTAAATGACATTATGAAATTTGTAAGTATTATAAAAGAATTATTTAAAATTAATTTAAAATATTTTAATTATTTAATGAAATATTTAATATATTTACTATAACTAATTACTTTAATTTTATTATTAAAATTATAATTATTATAGAATAATAATTTTAAATTAATTTTAAATTATTTTCATTTTTAATACATTATTTTAGTAAATTTATTAATTTGAGTTTAATTATTTAGTATAATTATTTTATATAATTTAATAATTTAACATAGTTATTCCATTAAAATTTATAATCAATTAAATGTTTAATTTTAATAAAATTAAATTTCTTTAAATTTTATTATCAAAATAATAACTACTATTATAAAATAACTTTAAAAAATAAAAAGCAACCCCCCTGGCAGAACACAAACTCTGCAATAAAATCATTGAAGTACAAAATTGAACTGCTCTGCCACATGGAAAATGCTGCTGACTTTGGTCTGAGCACTGACAGCATTTACTCACCCCCACCTCAAGTTTTAATTAGTCAATTAATTAAATCCAAATATAAAATAATAAATAAATATAAATAGAATTTATATATTACATATTATAGTATAAATACATCTATATTGTATATTATATGTAATAAATATATTAATAATATATAAAATTAATTAAAGGATTAATTTCAGATCAGCAACTTTCCAATGGCAGAGCAGCCCAAGAGCCGCCCTTTGGGTACGGCTGCTCTGAGCCCCAAGGGAGGAACTGGAACTGGGACTGGAACTGGAATTGGGATTCGGATTGGAATTGGAACTGGAATTGGAACTGGAATTGGGATTGGAACTGGAATTGGGATTCGGATTGGAATTGGAACTGGAATTGGAACTGGAATTGGGATTGGAATTGGAACTGGAATTGGAACTGGAATTTGAACTGGAATTGGGATTGGAACTGGAATTGGAACTGGAATTGGAATTTGGATTGGCATTGGAAATGGAACTGGAATTGGTGTTGGAATTGGAGTTGGAGTTGGAATTGGAACTGGAATTGGGATCAGTGTTGGAACTGGAATTGGGATTGGTGTTGGAACTGGAATTGGGATTGGTGTTGGAATTGGCATCGGAATTGGAACTGGAATCAGAATTGGGACTGGTGTTGGGGTTGGAATTGGAGTTGTAATTGGAATTGGCATTGGAATTGGAACTGGAATTGGAGTTGGAACTGAAATTGGAATTGGAATTGGAATTGGAGTTGGAATTGGAGTTGGCATTGGAATTCCTGGATTTCCAATGCAACCAAAGCACAGCTAAGGAGCAGATCCAAGGCAAAACCAAACAGCAGAGAGAGCCTGAGTCCAGCGTGAGCAAAGGAGCGCTCGGGAATGCAGGATCTGCTCTGCAAATGCAAATCTGGGATTTCTCCCGCCATCCCCGGGATTGCTGGGAGCTCCCACAGTCCCCATTCCCTGGGAACAAGGAACATTCCCTGATCCCAAGGCAGTGAGGCAGGGGGGAAAGCACCACTCTAGAGACAGAAAACAGCCAGCAGGGGTTAAAACATCCCTGAAACGCTCCTCAGCTTGGCTTAACGTGGAGCTGAAGCTGGATTTACTGTCCATCACGGGGAAAAAAGGGATGGAAAGGAAAAACAGTTAACTTGGCATTTGTTAATTGGTTAAACATACATATAAAAGACCTTGATAAAGTTCTTTATTAGCCATTTTTCACCTATCTTAGTGCACGTAGCTCCTTGTACCCTGTATCCATTAATGTAGATAAAAGAAGAATAAATAACCAAGTCTGAACAAGAGAAAACTGCCTCCCTCTCATCAATCTCAGTCCAAGGGGGAAAAATAACCCAGCCACAAGTGTCCCATCAGGACGGCTCCCACTCCTCATTCCAGCCAGGATTCTGGGCTGGGGGAGGACGTAACAGATCCACCCTTAAGGAGACGAGCAGCACAAACCCCGACTCACGGCAAGGCCAACAAAACCCCCAGAAGCCGACAAGCGAACCCCCACAAGAGCTCAACCCGCGAGCCCCGAGCTGACCCGCTCCGAGGCCACCCACCTGTACTCGGTGGTGTTGGAAGCTTTCCTGGTGCCCGGGATCTCCTCTCCGTTCTTCACCCAGTAGCTGGCGGCCAGGGGGCTGGGGCTGCTGCTCAGGTTGCACTGCAGCGTGACGGTGGTGCCGGCCACGTGCAGCACCACGTCCTCGCTGGCGTTGATGCGCGGCTCTGCAACACAGGCACGGCTCTCAGAGCTCGCCGGGGGAGGCTGCCCGCTACTCTAAAGGGGCGCAGGGGAGGGCAGGGGAGGGCACCACACAGGGGATTGGCACTGCGGGACACACAACCACACAGCTCGGCGCCCTGCGCGGAGAGACGGGGTTAATTCATTAATTAATTAGTGCTTCGTTGGGGAATGAATTCCCGACACCGGCGACTCTCCGGTTACTCCTCCAGAAGCTTCTTGCTGGTTGGCACTTCAGTCATCTCCTTGAGGTTTCAAACAAACTCTTTTTTGCTACAGAAACGGCGTTCAAATTTCGGTTTCTCGCTGATATTCTGGGTTTTGGCCCCTGCCCTAAGGCTGCTGCATCCCTGAACGCACCCAGGAGATTCCAAAGGCTTTCCCTGGAGGCTGGAAGTGGGGAAAGCCACGGAGAGCCTGGAATACACAGCAGGGTAAAACCAGAGCTGCGGCTGCTCCGTGCCTAAAGCAACCTTGAACACCAGCGTTTATAAAGAACAAAACCTCGAGCCCTGGAGTTCCAGCTCTGGGGCTGTTCCGTTCCACAGCCTCACCTGGCAACACCAAATCCCCACCTTTCAGGGCAGAGCCTTTCAGAAGTGATAAAATCAACGAGGATTTAAAAAATCTCACAATTCTGGCTGTTAAGTCTTCCCAAAAAAATGTTTTTTAGTGTCAGCTCGGCCTGCAGAGCCCAGCGGCTCGGTGTGTAAATGTGTGCCCGGCCTGGGGTGAATTCCTGGCTGTGGGGGCAGGGAATTCCAGAGGTTTTCTCCTCTGGATGCAGGAGGATGAGGAAGCAGCAGACATCTCCCCGATTTCTGCAAATCATCCAGGGGAGTTTTGGTTCTGGGAACTCTGCCGTGCCCTGCGGTTTGGGATATAAATTTGTGATCCACGGAGCCTTTGGAATGCAGGTTATGAAACAAAACGAGAGAAGAGAAAATGCAGATTGTGTCAGAACCATCCCAGCTTCCCACACAGGGAAGGAACATCATCCCTGTATCCCGTGGCACATCCTTACTGCCCAGGGAGAAAAAAATATCCATCCACTGCTAACCTGGAGCAGCATTCCAGTCCTGGATATCCTTTTTGAGAATCCTCCTTCCCCAGCTCTTTAAATCATTCCTGAACCGCAGAAAAACTGCGGTCGCTGTTTGTGTTATCGCATTTTTCACTCTGGTTCTGCCTCATTTCTCCCACGCTGGGCATTTTATAAATACATTTATTTTATTTATAATCCTTTCAGGGATTGTTTGGGCCCAAAATTGTTGTGTTATTCCCGTATCACGCACCGTTCCTGGCCTGCCCTGTGTGCTTTTCCACCCCCAAAGAGCTCATCATCCCACAAAATCCCAGAGCTCTGGGAATATTTTTGGAGCGTGTTTGAAATAGTAACTCAGTGGTTGACCTGCAACCTTTTCGGTTTTAGTGTAGCAAAACCGAAGGGCAGCTGCGAGTCTGGTTTCCAGCTTCACCTGCGTTTCCGTGACTTTGGGTATTAAAAAAGCAAATTGATGGATCGGTCTCCTCACTGAATCCCAGGGGACAGACTGCAATGGGAATACTGGGACAGCAGCAGCCAGAGGAGGATGCTCACCTAGAAAATCACTTTTTACACATCACCTGAAGCACCCGTTTTATGTAAGCTCGGCTTTTACACTTAAAACCCAAGCAAAGCAACTAAGAAAAAAAACCCAGGAAGTGAAATTCTGGTTCCAAATCCGGAATGAGGTGGAAGGCAGATGGCGCTTCCTGGGTGCCAGATTTTCCAAAGGAAGCTGATCCCTGCGGAGGCCAGGATGGAGCCTGTGCTCTGCGGGGCTTTGCTATCACAGCAGGGCAGCGGCCACCGCCCTCACCTGGAAATTCCAGCTCCACTGAGCCAGACAATTCCCATTTCCAAGACAAACTGTGCTCAGGCACATCATAGAACAGCTGAGGCCAGCTGGGCAGGCTCAGGGAAGAGTCTCCACTCCCAGGGACACCTTGGAAACCTCATCCCTGATTTTTCACCTCCAGCATGCTGGGGTGGGCGCTGGTGTCCAGGGACTCCTCCCGCCCGGCAGGAGCAGCTGGGCTGTCCCGGCACACACGGGAAAGGGGTGCTCTGATCCCCTGCTGCTGCCACAGCATTCCCAGAGCAGCTCTGCCGCCACAAGGCACTCGGCAGGGGCAGCAGCAGGCACAGCGCTACCACAGAGCCTCAACTTCACTCCCTGAAGGCCTGAGGGAGGGAAAAACCCCCTTTCCATAGGGACACCTCTTCCCAGCGGCTGGCCCCCAAGGCTGGCTCTGCACACGAGTGGGGTTCTGCCCCACAGAGCCACTTGGGGGGCTGTGCCAGGCCGGGCACGGGGCGCTCTGGGGCTGGCAGCATTCCCCAGCAGACACAGCTGCGGGTTTGTCCCAGAGTGGCAGAGCTGCTGCTGGAGCCATGCAAGCATTGCAGCCCTTTGGGAGCCAAAAGGACACGGGAGGGGCCGAGGCCGAGCGGCTGCAGCTCAGGAACGCCGCGGGAGCTCCACACCGGCCGCTATTCCCATTCCCCGAGGGAAGGTCTCTGATCCAGCAGTGCCCACGGCAGCACCAGCCTTTGGGGACAGCTTGGGGACATTTTTCAAGGTGCTTAAATAAATAATCAAGACACAGAGTTGATATTTTGTACCCTGTAGGGCATTAAAGTGTTACTCGTGCACAGAGCACAGGAGGAGCAAGGCCACACTTTAGCTCAGCTGAGGACACTGAGAAACCACCCAAAACAAGTTCTCCTCTACCTGCACGCTGCAGATTTAATTCCCTCTACCTGGCACTCAGCAGCCATTTGGGCAAATGCAAGTTTTACCTCTGGCCCGGGATCCTCCTCTACTGAATGTGCCCACACCAACTCCCAAATCCACCTGGGGTGAGAAGCAGAAGCAAAGGCAGGAAAGCCTTGTCACATCTGAGAACAAAAAGCGATTCTGGGCCGGGCACAGCCTCTCAGAGCTCTGCTGCTGCCAGGAGCTGCACCCTGCATGGAGTCACTGAGCTGGAGTTAGGGCTCAGCACCGGGCAGGACATTCCCACCTCCTCCTCCTCCCACCACAGGCTGGATCAGGAATGGCTGCACCTCCTCAGCGCTGCTGCATCAGAGAACTCCTTAGGAACATGCTGCTGGCCAGGAAGGAAAAGAAACACCACAACTTCATGGGAAAATCCGAGCACGAAAGGTCACGTGGAACTGAAAGGGAAGGGTTTATCCAGAAGCAGATATGGAACCAAAACCAGGTGAGGAGGCATTCCCAGAAATTCCAAGAGAACAGAAGAAATCAAAATAAAACGGTTAGAGTTGGGAAGAACGTGAAAATCAAAGAGCAAGGCACTGGTGGAGAAGCCAGGGAGGCCGGAAACCTCCTACAAAACTAAAGGGAGGAGGGAACAAACACAAATCCGGTTTGACACGGAAAGCTCTAACACACATCCCGAGGTTTCCCCAAGCGCTTGGGTCCTAAGGAGGAGAGCACACAGGTAGCACACAGGGTCAGCACTACAGGTGGCAGGACAGCACAGGGTGGGGACACGGGGATGGGGACACCACACTGCCTCTAGACGCTACAGTGCCACTACCGGGGGGCCGGACTCACTCTGCAGGACGCTTATAGTAGCCTGGGCTCGAATCCACGTAATGGAGGGATTTTGCCTCAAGTCATTCCTCCTGGGATCGTTGCTGGCCCTGCACTCGTAAGTCCCAGAGTCTTCCAAGGTAAGGCGGGTTACTCTCAGCACACTCACCCCATTGGCCCCGTAGGCAGTGTTAATGGTGACACGGCGCTTCCGAGCGCCATCCCACAGCTGTTTGAAAGCCTCAGCCCGGTTGACTTCTGCATACCACCACTGGATCTCTGGAGTGGGGTTCCCAACCACATCACAGTACAGTTCAAAGGCGTCCCCCGTGAGTTTAGTTTCTGACATGGGCGACTTGACAAACCCGGCTGCAGGGAGGGGCAGCAGAAACGCAGTGACAGAGCGGCAGAAAACAACACAGCTCACACACAACAAAGCAGCGGCAGAAAACAGTTAGAGACATGGCATCGGCAGGGACAGGGCTGGGGACACCCCTGGGGACAATCCTGGCATCGGCAGGGACAGGGCTGGGGACACCCCTGGGGACACCCCTGGGGACAATCCTGGCATCGGCAGGGACAGGGCTGGGGACACCCCTGGCATCACCAGGGCACCCCTGGGGACACCCCTGGTACTGACACAGCTGGGGACACCCCTGGTGTTGGCAATGACAGGGCTTGGGGACACCCACGGCATGGGCAGTGACACAGCTGGGGACACTCATGGCATTGGCAGTAACACAGCTGGGGACACCCATGTAACTGGTAGTGACACAGCTTGGGGACACCCATGGTATCAGCTTGGGGACACTCACAGCATTGGCAGTGACACAGCTGGGGATACCCCTGGCACCGCCAGTGACATGGCTTGGGGACACCCCTGGCCTGGCACTGGCTTGGAGACAGCCCTGGCACCGTCTTGGGGACAGCCCTGGCACCGTCCTGGGGACAGCCGTGGCACACAGAACGGGGGTGCAGGGCAGGGAATTCCTGCCATTCCTGCTGCTCCTGCTTTCCGCAGCAGCTGCCCCTGCAGAGCCTCACCGAGGGATTCCCAGGCCTTCCTCCAGCGCTGGGAATGCCGGGATGTGCCAGGGCCATGCTCCTGGTCAGGCAGGGCTCTCTGGGGAGCTCCCTGTGCCTGAGCCACCCATGGGGACACCAGGGGGAAGATCCCAAAGCTGTGCTGGCTCTGCTCTGACCTCCTCTCCCGTCTATTTCGGGCTTCCAGGGCAGGCAATTCCCCAAGACACAAGTAACCCGTTTTCCCGGAGGAGCCCATCACCCCAGCTCCAGGAAAGAGGGAATTTCAGCGGAATGAACCCTCACAGGCCAAAAGGTCGTTTTGTCAGGAGCTCACAGGAACCTCAGCGTTCCCC